CTTCCGCTGGTCCCACTTCCTACATTCAAGATCACGGAACCACCACGACCAAAGGTGGCAGCACCAGTTCCAAAAGTCAAAGATCCGCTATTGCCGCCAGAAGAGGACCCCGTGCTAAATACTAACCGACCGCTTGTCCCGATGGCCCCACTATTGGCAGCCGAGATCTTGATTGCGCCGCTGCTGGATGCGGTGCCTTCACCACTGCCAATATATATCGCACCGCCAGTTCCCACCACACTCCTGCCCGCCATCATTTTTATGCATCCACCAGCTGCGCTCGCCCCGCTGCCGACTGTCATGATAATGGCACCTCCGACACCGTCGGTGGCTGCGCCTGACCCAAGGAGGATTGCCCCTGTATTTCCACCAGACGATGATCCAGTACTGAACGTCAGCACACCACTCGAGCCAGCAACGCCTCCGTTTCCGCTCAGAATTGTTACGCCACCGCTGGAAGTCGCGGTACCTTCACCCGTTGTGATGCAGACTGAGCCACCAGTCCGAGAAGTTGATCGCCCCCCGATAAGAATCATCCCCCCCCCCCTACCGCTTGTTCCTGAGCCCAAAGCGACGTTCAATAGCCCCGCTCGGCCGCCTGTAGAGACACCAGTGCCGATGAAAATTCCCCCGGAGTTTCCACTTTTTGCCGTCCCGCTGCTAAATACTAGCTTCCCGCTGGCGCCCGAGCTTCCAGTGTTCGGTGTGAATACTGTGATCGAACCGCTGCTCGTCTGGGACCCTTGCCCACTTTGAAGTGTCAACGCGCCACCGGTTGCCATGCCAACACCCGCCGCCGCCCGTAACATCCCTCCGGCTCCGCTCGTCCCACTCCCAACGGTCGTAAAAACAGCCCCACCTCGTCCACCCGTGGCAGTACCGGTACCCAACGTGATTGCGCCGCTATTGCCTTCTCTGGCAGAGCCTGTGCTAAACACCAGTCTTCCACTGCCTCCGGTGATCCCTGAATTGGCACTGCTCAATATGATGTTGCCGCTGCTCGTCGCCGTGCCCTCGCCCGTGAAAGCAAGAATCGACCCACCGGTGAAAGTAGCGCTGCCTCCGGCAAGCATGTACAAGTCTCCACCAGATCCACTCATGCCGCTGCCGGCGCTGACGGAGATGCAACCGCCGCCTCCTTCAGTCGCAGCACCGGTCCCGATTAGAATTGCTCCGCTGTTGCCCCCGCTTGCGGTCCCAGAGCTGAACACGAGCCGACCACTACTTCCATCCACACCGCTATTTGCAGATCGAACAACCATGACTCCGCTGCTTGTTTGCGTGCCCTCTCCACTTTCAATCACAACAGCACCGCCACTCGCTGTAATAGCTCGACCCGACTCGATGCCGAGCGTCCCGCCAGATCCGCTTGTCCCACTTCCAACACTCGCCATGAAAGCACCCCCGCGCCCACCTGTCGCTGCCCCCGTCCCAAGTGAGATTGCACCGCTGTTGCCAGATTTAGAGGTACCAGAACTAAATGCCAGGAATCCGCTGGCCCCAGTGCTACCACTGTTTGCACTGCTTAGATAGAGTACGCCACTACTAGTCGCCGTTCCCTCGCCACTCCGGAAAACGACCAACCCGCCGGTCGTCGAAACGCCACGACCAGCACATGCAGAGATCCAGCCTCCTGATCCGCTAGTACCGCTGCCCACACCCAAACAAATTCCGCCTCCTGAGCCACCCGTGGAAGCTCCGGAGCCAACGTATATAGCTCCACTGTTCCCTCCTGAAGCGCTGCCAGAGCTAAAAACTAGCTGACCAGACGCTCCAACGGCACCGGCATTGGAAGAGTGCATTACAACCATTCCACTGCTGGCGGCGGTGCCTTCGCCGGTCATAATCTTTACCGCGCCACCTGTCACCGTGCTAGAGCGACCAGCCTGCATAGTCATTGAACCACCGGCTCCACTGGTGCCACTCCCGACGCTGACGAGGAGCACACCACCGCGACCCCCGGTCGCTATGCCGGAGCCAAGACTGATCATCCCGCTATTCCCACCCCCGACTGTACCAGAACTAAAAGTGAGTCGCCCGCTCACGCCGGCACAGCCTCCGTTCAACGTGAGGAGGCTTACCATGCCGCTGCTTGAAAAGGTCCCCTCCCCAGAAATCACCAGCACGAAGCCACCCGTACTTGCAAATGATGTGCTTCGACCGCCCAGGAGCATGACGGCACCACCGACACCGCTCGTGCCACTTCCAGAACTGATTGTGATTCGACCTGAACGACCACCGGTTGACGCTCCGGTGCCTATGAGGAGCGCCCCACTGTTACCGTACTTGGCTGTTCCTGAACTGAAGGAGAGCTTTCCACTTGAACCAGCCACCCCTGCATTCGCGGTTGAAATAGAGATTGTACCCGAACTAGACGCCGTGCCCTCCCCGCTCTTAACTAACACTGCACCACCAGTGCAAGGATTGTTCCGACCTCCCTGCAGACGTACCCCCCCACCATAACCACTTGTGCCACTACCGACGCTGATGACCACAGAGCCGCCTCGTCCGATAGAGGAAGCACCAGAACCAACAATTATCGACCCACTATTGCCCCCCTTGGCCGTTCCCGAGCTGAACACGAGTCGTCCACTAGAACCCACATTCCCCGAGTTGCCAGTCTGCATGATAATACACCCGCTGCTCGTCCGCGTGCCTTCCCCGGAGATCATCAGTAATGCGCCACCAGATGTCACCGTACTTCGGCCAGAACAAAGACTGATCGCCCCACCCGAGCCGCTCGTGCCGCATCCGACGCTGATAGTGATGCCACCGCCGCGACCAGCGGTACTCGCGCCGCTCCCGACACAGATGGCGCCGGAGTTGCCCCCCTTGCTCGACCCTGAGCTAAACACGAGACGGCCGCTGCTCCCAGAGACGCCGCCGTTCGCGGACATCACCTGAATTGATCCGCTGCTCGTCTGCGTCCCCTCGCCAGACACAACGACCACCGCACCTCCGCTCGCCGTCGTCGAGCGCCCGGACTGCACCTGCATCATCCCGCCCGACCCGCTTGTCCCACTCCCGACCCCGATCCGCACCGCTCCGCCTCGTCCGCCAGTCCCAGCGCCAGAGCCGACAGAGATGGCGCCGCTGTTCCCCGTCTTTGCCGACCCAGAGCTAAACGCCAGTAGCCCACTCGACCCACCGACACCACCATTGGCACTGCTGATGCATACCGCCCCGCTACTGGAACCAGTGCCTTCGCCTCCATGTACTACTACGCTCCCACCAGATGTGGTGGTGCTTCGCCCAGAGCAAACGGAGATCGACCCACCAGATGCGCTGGTGCCGCTACCAGAACTGATAATGATGTTGCCACCACGTCCATTAGTGGCGACGCCAGAACCGACAAGCACAGCTCCCGTGTTTCCGGCTCTCGCCGAGCCAGAACTAAACACAAGACACCCACTTGCGCCCGCGACTCCTGAATTGCCGCTCTGCAGGAACAGTGCGCCGCTGCTTGTCGCAGTTCCTTCTCCCGACGCCACAAGTAGAGCTCCACCGGTTTTAGTAGTACTACGTCCAGCCCACATGCCGACCATACCACCTGTTCCGCTCGTACCACTGCCAACACTGAACCACACGGCGCCGCCCCGTCCACCCGTGCTTCCTCCAGTGCCGAGGTTGATCATCCCGGAGTTCCCTGCCTTGCCCGTGCCCGTGCTGAAGATGAGTCGCCCAGTACCCCCGCTGACACCACTGTTCGAAGAAACTATGTATATGCAGCCGCTACTAGTCTGCGTTCCCTCGCCACCGGAAATCACTACTGCACCCCCGCTAGCTGCCGTCGAGCGCCCACCTTGAATTTGCACGCAACCCGCAGCTCCGCTGGTTCCACTGCCAACAGTGAGAGCCACGGCGCCTCCACGCCCACCCGATGCAGATCCAGTACCTATCAGAACAGATCCACTGTTGCCACTCTTCGCAGATCCCGAGCTGAAAACCAAGAGGCCACTTGAACCAGCTATGCCACCATTGCCCGTGCAGAGTAGCACCGAGCCGCTGCTCGAGGCGGTTCCCTCCCCACCGCGGAAAACAACCGTGCCACCTGTGGTGATCGTACTCCGCCCCGCGAGAACAAAGACTGTGCCGCCTGCGCCGCTAGTGCCACTCCCGACTGCCAGGACAATGGCCCCGCCAGTGCCGCCAGTAGCTGCCCCGGTTCCAAGAAGAACGGCACCGCTATTCCCACCGGTTCCCGTTCCGGAGCTAAAAACGAGCCTCCCGCTCACCCCGACTTCACCGCCATTCACTGTTTTGATCACAACGGCCCCGCTGCTCGTCTGTGTACCCTCTCCAGACTCGATGATGACAATACCTCCAGTGGCAACAACACTCCTACCAGCATCCATGTGCACGGCTCCGCCAGTGCCGCTCGTTCCACTCCCGACGGATATATGGATGGCGCCTCCGCTCCCACCCGTCGCCGCCCCTGTTCCAGCAAAAACGGTGCCACTGTTTCCTTGGTTTGCGGTGCCTGTACTAAAAATAAGCCGACCGCTAGTACCAGCCTCGCCAGAGTTTGCGCTGGTCACGATAATTTTGCCACTGCTCGATGCTGTGCCCTCGCCCGAGTGCAACACCACCGTGCCACCTGTGAGGACGGTGCTACGGCCAGCCAGGACGTGAATAGCTCCACCGCTGCCGCTCGTCCCACTTCCGACGCTAAGTGTCACCTGGCCACCACGCCCAGCGGTCATAGCACCGGTGCCAACGCAAAATTGACCGCTGTTGCCAGCAGCTGCAGTGCCGGAAGAAAAAACAAGCCGGCCGCTAGAGCCAATGGCACCGCTATTAGCCGTCGAAACGTGCACATTCCCCGAGGTCGCTACAGACCCCTCTCCGCTGTAAATACGAAGCATGCCACCAGTTTGGACTGTACTGCGACCTGCAAGCAGGCTCACGAGGCCGCCAACACCACTTGTTCCACTACCAACGCTCACCCGGATGGGACCACCGGCACCATCAGTAGCAGCGCCTGTTCCGACGAACACACTACCCGTATTTCCGTAGCTTGACGTGCCTGAGGAAAAGATAAGTCGACCGCTAGCGCCACTCGCACCGGCATTCGCCGTCACAATGTTGAGAGTCCCACTACTTGTGGCTGTCCCCTCGCCCGTCGTGACTTCCACACATCCGCCAGTGGCAACAGTACTACGCCCTGATAGGATACTAACAATCCCCCCATCGCCACTTGTGCCACTTCCCACAGTAATGCCAATAGCGCCTCCCCGACCACCGGTAGAAGCGCCCGAACCAAACGACAACATGCCACTGTTTCCACCGAGTGCGATACCAGAGCTGAAAAGAAGGAAACCACTTGATCCAGCGACCCCCGCATTCGGGGTGGAAAAGTATATGCTACCACTCGACGTGGCCGAGCCTTCACCGCTCGCAACAATGATTGTACCTCCCGTCGATGTCGTACCGCGACCTGAGCGGAGCGTCAACTCGCCCCCACTACCACTGGTCCCACTGCCGACTGCGACCGTGACCCATCCTCCCTGCCCCTGAGTGGCCGCGCCCGTGCCCACCAATATACCGCCGCTATTCCCCCCTCTGGCGGTGCCAGAACTGAAAGTGAGTAACCCGGATGTGCCATCTACTCCGCTGTTGACAGTCATGACATTAACAGACCCGCTGCTAGTCGTGGTGCCCTCACCACTTCCGATGAAAACGACCCCTCCTGTGTGCTCGGTGGAACGACCTGAAAAGATAAAAACCTCTCCGCCACTCCCGGAAGTGCCACTCCCAACCGTGAGCGATATGGCACCAGCACGACCACCCGTAGCGGTGCCCGTGCCGACATACAAGTTACCGCTGTTGCCATGTTTTGAGGTCCCGGAGCTGAAGGCAAGATGGCCGCTACTCCCACTAATTCCTGAATTCGGCGTGGCCAGAAAAATAGCTCCACTGCTGCTTGCAGTGCCCTCACCACTGGCAATTGATACTTCACCGCCAGTATGCATATCGCTGCGGCCCGCTTGTACCGTCATCAACCCCCCCCTGCCTGACGTACCGCTCCCAACTGTCACAAAAAGTCCCCCACCGCGCCCACCGGTTGCAGCGCCTGACCCAACCAGGAGCGCGCCACTGTTGCCGTCATTAGCGGAACCAGACGAAAAGATGAGACGCCCACTTACACCGGTCAATCCCGCATTTGGTGTGCTAATAGCGATGGAACCACTGCTCGTCGCAGTTCCTTCACCACTCAGAATAGAAAAATCACCACCAGTCCGTGTAGTTGATCGCCCTGCCCCAGCAGTGAAAGTGCCACCCACACCAGAGGTCCCACTTCCAACTGTGATGAATATGGCACCGCCCCGACCCCCTGTTGCAACCCCGGTGCCTATGTGTATCATTCCGGAATTACCACATTTGCTTGATCCTGTGCTGAAGACGAGACGGCCACTCATGCCAGAGACGCCACCATTCGCCGAGGAAAGTGTTATTGCGCCGCTACTCGTCGCCGTTCCTTCACCGCTCACAAACGCGACAGATCCACCAGACCGCACTGTGCTTCGGCCTGCACCAATGGTTAAGCTCCCACCAGAACCACTTGTGCCGCTACCAATCGCAAGAACGACAGCGCCTCCCCGCCCTCCAGTTGCTGTACCAGTACCCACGATGAAGTCACCGCTGTTGCCGCCACTTGCCGACCCAGAAGAGAAGACGAGACAGCCCGAGGATCCGATATTTCCTCCGTTGCCAGTGCGGATAGTAAGGGCACCACTGGTTGTGGCCGTACCTTCCCCACTCTCGATCACAACCAGGCCGCCACTCCGTGTCGTGGAACGGCCCGCATCTAGCACCAACAGACCACCCGCTCCACTGGTACCACTGCCTGCAGTGAGATAAACAGCTCCGGCCCGGCCACCTGTGGCAGCACCGCTGCCCAGGAGTAGATTGCCACTGTTCCCGTTACTTGCAGTGCCAGATGAGAATACAAGGCGGCCACTTGATCCGGCGATCCCGCTGTTGCCAGTGCGAATGGTGATCGATCCACTGCTAGTCACCGTTCCTTCGCCACTAACAAGGGTAATGATGCCGCCGGTTGCTGCGAGCGCATTACTCGAGCCGCTCTGCAGCCCGAGAACGCCACCATCACCGCTTGTACCGCTACCAACCGTGATATGAACAGCGCCACCGCGACCGCCTGTGGCAGCGCCGCTACCAAAAAGCAGATTGCCGCTGTTCCCGTTACTCGAAGTTCCGGAGGAGAAGGTAAGACGACCACTAGCTCCAGCCGTACCAGCATTTGGAGTGCGAACAAAGATCGAACCTGAAGATGTAGTTGTTCCCTCCCCCGACTCCAACCTCATAAGGCCACCAGAAGAGTGGGTTGATAGGCCCGCGAGGAGGCTCATGGCACCACCAGAGCCGCTTGTACCGCTGCCTACGCTGACAGTGACTGCACCTCCACGACCACCAGTCGCCGCACCACTGCCGACGAAGAGCGCACCACTATTACCACCCCTGGCAGTGCCCGAGGAGAAAACGAGTCGCCCACTGGCGCCATTTGTTCCAGAATTTGAAGTTTGGATGGTGAGCGCACCCGAGGTTGAGGCTGTTCCTTCACCGCTGACCAACGTGGTAGCACCGCCGGAGGCTGTCTGACTACGGCCGGCGGCGAGGAAAAGGTCACCCCCCCGCGCAGATGTGCCACTGCCAGCCGTAAGATACAGAGTGCCCCCGCGACCACCAGTAGCGGCGCCACTACCGATGAGACAGGCACCAGTGTTACCATCACTTGCTGTACCTGATGAAAAGGCCATGAGGCCACTGGCACCTGTGGTACCTGAGTTAGCAGAGTGAATGCTCACGGCACCTGAGGTCGTGGCGGTGCCTTCACCAGACTCTATCTTGAGGCCGCCGCCCGTGCGAGATGTGCTACGGCCGGCGAGAACGAGAAGCTCACCGCCACGTGCAGAAGTGCCACTGCCAACAGCGACAGTGATAGCGCCACCGCGACCGCCTGTCGAGGCGCCGCTACCAACGAATACCCCCCCAGAGTTGCCATCCTTGGAGGTTCCAGATGAAAAGGAGAGCCAGCCGCTTGCACCACTGTCCCCGCCGTTGGCTGTTCGGACTGCGACGGCCCCTGATGTAGATGCGGTACCTTCTCCCGACTCCAGGGTTAGAGCACCGCCCGTGTAACTACTGGAGCGACCGGCAGCGACCGAGATTGTGCCACCGGCGGCCGACGTACCACTACCAACAGTCAGGCTAATGCGCCCGCCACGCCCAGATGACGCAGCACCGCTACCGATGAGGCAAGCGCCCGTGTTGCCACCACTGGATGTGCCCGCAGAGAAAATCAGTGAACCAGAAACACCCCGAAAGCCTGCGTTGGTCGTGAGGAAGCAAATCGTGCCAGATGTGGAAGAGGAGCCTTCGCCAGTGGTCAGAATAAGAGAACCACCTGTACGCACCGAAGATGCTCCTGCAAGCACAGTCGCATTTCCCCCGCTACCACTGTCACCAGTGCCGACGAGGATGGTAACGTTTCCGCCACGACCACCAGTGGAGTCACCAGATGTGATATTTACCCATCCGCTGTTGCCATTGCTTGCCGTGCCAGTGGATATAATCAGATGCCCACTGACACCAGCCGTGCCTGCATTCGATGTGGCAATGGTCATATTTCCAGAGCTTGTCTTGGTACCATAGCCTGTCGTAACCCAACAACTACCACCGCTTGATGTGGATCCCCGACCAGCTGTGATCATCACGTGGCCACCGCACCCATTGCAAATACCGTTGCCGTCACCTGCGCGGATATCAATAGCACCGCCCGTCTTGTCTGACTGTGATGTGTCTCCCGCAGTGATGGTCACTCCACCGCCATAGCCACTGTCCCCCCCGCCGACGGAGAGCTGAATTGCGCCTCCGCCGCCAAGCTCGGCTGTGCCTGTCGCGATGAAGACAGAGCCTGTATTTCCTGAAGAGGAGGAACCAGTGGTAAACTCGAGGCGACCGGAAGCCCCCAACTCACCCGCGTTCATGGTCGATACAGCAATCGAGCCGGATGTGGATGCTGATCCATATCCTGATTCGATGAATACGGAACCACCTGTATCCGAGCCGCCGACCCCAGCCGTGATAGAGAACGCCCCACCCATGCTGAATTCTTCACCGGCGCCGTGTCCTGCGATTATTGCCACCCCCCCCCCCCTTGATATTTCATCGTCTGTTCCGTCCGCGCTTGTTTCGCCTGCCACGAGGCTCACCGAGCCACCGTCTCCACTGTCACCATCACCAACAAGGACTGTAAATGACCCACCTCGACCACTAGTCGCAGAGCCCGTCTCGAGAGCAATAAACCCAGAGTTTCCCCCTGATGCCGTGCCAGTGCTCAGAAAAAGATAGCCGCTGATGCCGTTCTCACCCGAATTCATTGTTCTCATTGACACCGTCCCTGAGGTCGAGGCAGAAGAATAGCCAGCTATGATAGAAATCTTTCCGCCAGTCCCCGAATCACCCGCTCCAACTTCTACCGTCACACTGCCACCTGACCCTGACTCGGCGATCCCAGTAGTCATCTGAATCTCGCCCGAGTTTCCCTCGCTAGCATCGCCCGTAGTGATGGATAATTCACCTGAAACTCCAGAAATACCAGAGTTGGCTGTTTGTAGAGTCATGGCACCAGAAGAAGTTTCCTCACCGTAGCCTGTTGTCACGAAGACTTCTCCACCTGTGCCCACATCGGACTCCCCTGCAACAAGCTCCACACCACCGCCATCACGAGTCTCACCACGACCCGCGCAAACGAGAATCGACCCGCCATTCCCACCAGATGCCGTACCCGTTGACAAGACTATTGCGCCTGTGTTTCCGTCGCTTGTTGAACCGGTCGTGAGGGAAATAGCCCCCGATGCCCCCTTGCTGAGAACATTGGCGGTACGCAAATATAGACGTCCGGAGCTTGATTTAAGACCCTGACCCGAGGAAATATAAACATCACCACCCGGTGATCCGCTCCCTGCTTTGAAAGAAAGACCGCCGCCGCCCCCGTAAAGACCCTCCCCCGATGCGAGGATGATCTCGCCCCCATCTCCAGCAGTGGAGTCCCCAGCATAAATCTCGACGTCGCCGCCAGAGCCGCTGTCACCAGTGCCGACCATGAGCGTGATTTCGCCACCACGACCACCAGCACCCTCGCCCGAGACGACGCCGATCGCGCCAGAGGACTCCTCCGTTGAATCTCCCGTCCTGAGTGACAAGGGGCCGCTTGCGCCATTGCGACCTGCATTGGTACTCGAGAGAATCACATCACCTGAGGTCGTCTTAGCGCCATAACCAGAGACTAGGCAGAGCTCGCCACCGCTAGCCGCGGCGGAGGTACCGGCGATGATCTCCACATCACCACCATTCGATGCGGAAGAGGTACCAGCTCCACCCTCGATTGTCACGGCACCACCCATAGCATCATTTGCCTCCGTGGAACCCGCAGATAGCTTGATTTCAGCACCGTTGTCTTGCTTGGCCAATCCCGCGGCTACAGTTATGGCGCCTCCTGGCCCATCTAACCCCGCTCCGGACTGAAGGAAGATAGCGCCACCCGTTTCTCCGCTACCAGAGCTCATCATGAATACACCACCTCTAGCATCATCGGTTGTGTTCCCCGCACCCATTATCATCTGACCGCCATAGCCCGATGCAGAGGCACCGACCTGTATGGAGATCGAACCTGAAGCACCGGTCATGGTAGACCCAGTTGCAAGAGTCACACTACCGGAGTCACCTACATCGGCACTTCCGGTGCTGATTTGGACCGCACCGGAGCCACCCCCGGATGTTGGAGTGGACATTGAAATATCACCACCCATATCCGTTGAAGCACCACTTGCCAGGATCACACCTCCACCAGTCCCTTCGACTGCGGTGCCCGCGGACACCGTCACGTTTCCACCTAGATCATTTCCGCCACCAGCAGTGACAATGACGTTTCCACCCTTACCCGCAGAAGAGTCACCCCCCTGGGCGCAGATCTCAGCACCTCTCGAAGCTTCACTTAGTCCCACGCCCAGCACTAAATCGCCCGCAGCACCTGAAGTAGCTTGACCCGTGGTGATCGTAATACCGCCGCTATTGCACTCGTCTGCATAGCCGGTCTGTACTAGTATTGCACCCGATTCAGTCGCCGCGTCAGCTGTTATCGCGGATATATTTCCGCTGTTTGCACAGGTCGAGGAACCAGATCTCAAACTCACAGAACCACCACGATCACGACCGTAGCCACCAGTGACGGTGAGATCGCCACCTTGCTCACCGTCACCCGCACCGATAGTGGCGTTGCCCCCATATCCAAGTTCGTCGTTACCTGACGAGTTGCCCGCATGGATTACTACCGCGGCTGCAGTTTGTGCATTCGCCCCGCCACCCAAAATCGACAAGTCACCTCCACGTGACGTGTCACCCGCCCCCCCAGCAACAGTGACCCCACCGCCCACGCCCTCGTCCGAGAGAGAGTCGCCTGCACGCATGTTGAGGTCGCCACCGGTCCCTGAGGACGAGTTGCCTGCTAGAATGTCAACGCTACCACCGTAACCAGAGCCACCGTCGCCAACGCGGAAGTCGATTTTACCTCCACTCCCTTGCAATGCCGTGCCCGTCAGAAGCGCGATTCCGCCCGAGTCTCCATTGAGGGCATCACCTAAGAATCGCGATGAGGTTCAATTTGCGGACGCATTTTCAATCTTATTTTTCTAACGACTCACACTTGAACGAATAATTAGAGGCACGGAGCAGACCTGTCGAGGTGACTAATCCGCCAGATTCCCCGTTGCTGTCAGCACTGCGGATGAATAGTCCTCCGCTACTGCACCCAAGAGCCGTAGATTGGCCGGATGAGAGGAAAATGTTGCCGCCGTCTGCAGCAGTTCCAGCCCCTGCGATTATAGAGGCATTGCCACCGAGCCCCCCCGTGCCCGCTGCAAGGCGTGCCGAACCTCCAGCTCCATTTGGAGCATCACCCGCCTTCAGCAATATTTCCCCTCCGAATCCTGAACCGCTGTTACCCACTGCAAAGCTGATTCCACCCGCCCCGCCTCCATTGGCGTCGCCTGTTCGGAAGCGAATGGCACCAGAACACCCCACCTCCTCACCGTGGGCTTCGCCCGTGGTCAGATTGATTGAACCCGAGGCCGCCGCCGCTGGAGACTCAATCCTAAATCAAAATTGGTGAGCAATATTTGAGGAGCCTAGACTTTATACGACACACGAGAAACCCCCCTCCCCGGCGCACGCGTCCCTCGTCGTGTCCCTGTGCGGACCCTATGCGCTTGCATGCGCCAAATACTTGAACTTATGAAGTTCGGATCGGCCGTTGGGGCTTCAAAATACGAGACGAAATAGTTTGGAGACGCAGGAGGGCCAGACGTGATATTCCCCGAGGTTCCCATCTCAGAGCTCCCTGATTCAATCGCCACGAACCCACCAGCGTCCTGGAGCATGCCTTCATTGTAAGCGCCCGTACCTGCACGCACCTGCAGCGACCCCCCCTCAAGTCCATCGCCTGCCATGAATACAGCATCACCGCCGACACCTCCGCTTGCAGAGCCAGCCTCAAAGCGAACTGAACCACCAGATGTCGTGCCATTCCCACCATACAGGCGCAAATTGCCTCCGGATAGAGCATTTCCCTTCCCCGCAAACAGCTCGAGACCACCGCCCTTGTCGCCCAACCCGGCCTCGATACTGGCGTGACCGCCACAGCCTCCCTCGCATGTTGCGTGGCCAGCGACAAAAATCGCGTCACCGCCAACACCACCGGCGGCATCGCCGACACTGACGCATATTGAGCCAGATGAAGATTCGGGCGCGTCACCGGTGTGCAGAGCAATCGACCCCGCTGCTTGGTGCGTGGAAGAACCTGTAACTAATTGCAGCATACCAGTCTGACCCGGCGCGCAAGGAGTGCTCAGGATAACATCGCCCGAACTCGCACGTGTTGTCTCACCGCTTGAACTACCCGAAGAAATACTGACAGCACCACCCACACCCTGGGTCGAACTGCCTGCACTTAAGGTCATATTCCCGCCGCCGAATTGAGTTCCATTCCCAGCCAGAAGCCGCAGCGTGCCACCCGCTGCACCAGATCCCGCCTCAAGGATTGCAGCCCCAGCAGCGCCTGACTTGCCCTTCCCAACTGAAATCAGGATTCCACCACCCGCCGCAGCAGTGCTATCTCCCGTTCGGAGCGAGACTGCTCCAGAATTGCCATTGCTATTGCCAGTCTGAATGCAAATACTTCCAGATTTGCTACCCTCGGCCGTGCCCGTGCTCGTCGATACTGTAATGTCGCCGCCCAAAGCACCGTCACCGGACGCGATGGCGACCCCACCACCGAGAGCCTCGCCCATCCCTGCGGCGAGAGCAAGAGAACCTCCTACCATGCCGTCGCCAGCTGTGATATGAATTTTACCACCTGCAAGATCATTTTCACTGCCCGAAGAATCACCTGCTTCGACCTCGACCGAGCCTCCGTCGCCCAGTGTCGAGTCCCCGCCGTCAATGGAAAAGGATCCCCCTGTCCCCTCGGTTGCCTCACCGCTACGGATCTCCACGCTGCCCCCCACTACGCCCGAACCCGCCGTCAGCACCAATGCGCCGCCAACATTCGAATCCTTGTCATTGGACGATGCATCATTACTCATCTGCGCATTTCCGGCTCCAAGGATGATAGAGCCACCACACCCTCCTCCTGCAGTCCCAGCCAGGAGCTCGATGGCACCAGAGCTGTCTTCTTCGCTTGTCCCAGAGCGCACCTGAATTCTACCCGAAGGACCATTGACGGCATCACCTGTGCTCAGAAAAAGGTGCCCTCCGCCAACATCCCCACCTTCCGCGTTGCGTTGAGAGGGTGTGCAAATGTGCACGTCGCCAGAGCTGAGATCACCAGTACCGGAGAGCAAAAGAATGGCACCTCCCTGAGCATGTGCACTCTTTCCACCCTCGATTGACACATTCCCACCAACCGCACCGCCGCCGCCTGCAAGCCGCACGCTACCACCGGTTGCACTTGCAGAGTTACCTGCCCTCAACTCAAGCTTTCCACCCGATCCCGATACGGACTCTCCGACGAGGAGATAAACGTCGCCAGCATCCAGCGTTGATGTTCCCGACTGAAGGAGAATACGCCCTGACGCCGCAGTCGAGTTCCCAGTCGACAGCTGAATGTCACCTGAACGGTCTGCTGCAGTACCTGTTGTCACATTGACTGATCCTGAGATCCGCCCAAGACCCGTGAGCAGCGTAACATCACCGCCTTCTTCGTCACCATCTCCTGCAGCTAATATAACATTTCCGCCCCGAGTTCTACCATAACCTGCCGTCAGGTTGAGGAAGCCTCCTTGGCTGTCACGCGAGCCTCCCGCGAAAAGCTCGATCGAACCTCCATTGTCAAGTGCTCCACCGACTTTCACGGTGAAATTGCCACCATCCCGAGACAGGACTCTCACATCTCCACCGCGCTGGAAGCCAGCGCCCGACGTGATGGATATATTCCCACCACACGCGCCATCACCTGCGACAAAACACAGTGGGACTAAGAAATCTAGCAAGAAGCGGCCTCATTCCGAGCACCACAGCATCAGGCGCTCCGAAGTTTTTAAATGACGCTGGCTGAGAGCCTGCTCTCAATCCAATACTACCCCCGAGACCTGTAGCTGAGCGCCGTACAGTTGCGTTGATTGAGCCCGTGCCGCCATCCTTGCTTTCACCGGTCATGACTTTGATCCCACCAGAATCGCCTTTCTGCGCACAGCCCGTGGCCAGCAGGATAGAGCCCGAACTGCTGGGATGCTCCATGGAGTCCCCACCTGTGGAAGTAAAGCACTCATGTGAGCCCCCCCCCCCCCTCCCGCGCTCATGATCATCTCAAATTGTGGGAATCAAGCGAGGGCTTCTTGTTGGGACGCTGAAAAATCGAACTTGTCCAAAGGCTGATATTCCCCGAGGTTTGTTTGCCAGCACCGGACTCGAGAAGAAATCCACCACCACGGCGAGCCGTACCGATGCCTCCGCGCATTATCACACTACCACCCACGGAACCATCACCAGCTGAAAATTGGATCGAGCCACCCACTGCTGCATAGTCGCCATTACTTCCAGCACTAATATTGACGTCACCCCCGCCAGAGGCGCCCAGGCCAACTTTTAGCTCTATTGCACCGGCTGCACCACATGGTGCGTGACCGGTCGCCAGTGAGATATCCCCGGACTTTCCACAAAATGCCTGCCCTGTATTTACACAGATGCTTCCCGTCTGGGGACCCAGAGTACCATCTGTAGTTTCACCGTGTTTGAGGCCTGCCGTGCTTAGAGAAAAGTTTCCAGATTTTGCTAAAGCGCCGCCGGTTTGAAGCAGGACATTGCCGCCTTTCTGCAAACCTCGACCACCGGCGAGAAAAATTTCCCCACCATCGCCTAATTTCGACGCACCGGCACGCATTAATATCGCCCCACCATCGTGTATATTTGAACTTCCTCCGGTCAGGCTAACCCATCCGCCTGAGCCTGATGACGAATTCCCGACCGATACAGACACGTTGCCACTCCTCCCACCCAGAAGACCCCTGCCGCTTGATATATTTACAGACCCGCCTGCACATCCGCTGCCGGCCGTGATCGTTATGTTTCCACCAAAACTGTCGGATGAGTTTCCCGCTCCAATGCAGATTCGGCCACCCAGGTCGCGCGATTCGCCAACAGTCAGGAAGATTCCACCCGCATTGCCCGCTTCAGCTGTACCTGTAGCAATCTGGACCGACCCAGAGCAGCCGACACGCGAATCGCCCGTAGTTGTGGAGATGCCTCCACTATCCCGAGCCAGCGACGATTGAAGTACATCTGCTGTTTGAATAGTCACACCCCCAGATTGGCCCTCGCCAGCACCGGAGGATAACTGAATAGAACCGCCATCGTGATCGCCGTTGCCTCCCTGTATGACTAGTTGACCACCTACCTCGCCCTTACCACCCTCGATCAGAATAGAGCCTCCCGTGCCCTTGCTATCAATCGAAGTTCCGCTGGTCACATTGACAGAGCCGCCATCGCCAAACTTGCTTTCGCCTACCGCGAGGTTAATGTCCCCAGCCTTTCCGTCGGTGGTGTTGCCTGTGCTCAGATAGAGTGTTCCAGTGTCGCCAGAGCCTGCGCCCCCGCTCATGATGCAAACCCCCCCGTGTGCCGCCACCAACGAAGCCGAAGCTCCAGATCTGATGCTCAATTTGCCACCTTGCCCTTCACCAGAGCTATTAATGACTATACGATTACCAGCAGCTACTGATACATTCCCATTCGCACCAGTTTCCACGATAACGTTGCCCGAACTGATACCGTTTCCAGCAGCAAAAACCACGTCGCCACCTGCCGCGTGCCCATGTGCGCCGTGGATTGTGACATCACCCCCATGGGTAGTGCCTCCACCGCCTTGAACAATGACTGCACCGCCCTCCCTAATCCCCACACCTCCTGTGATTTCGACGCTGCCACCGTCTTGGCCAGCGCTGCCCCCGCTGAAGGACAGGTCCCCCGAGTTCAAGGCCGCCCCTGTCGATAGGAGCACCTCGCCGGATTCCGCTGCGCCGTCGCCAGTAGCAATGTTCACGTCGCCCGTCCGTGACACCTGGCTGGCTTTGGTTTGGATGGACACCTGCCCGTCCCTATGAATAGTGAAGAACTGGTTGTGCGCCTGAACTGCGGCGATAAGATCAAGCGTCAAGCCTTGTTTGTCTACTTGGTGGAATCCATCCAGGGAGAAGTTATAAGCCGGATGTGCAAAGTTATCCAAGACTTCGATGCGCTCTGGAAACAGTTCGCGAACCTCTTGTGCAATTAAGCCTCGGACCACGGTATCATTGATTCCGCGCACTCGCAGCCAGTCATTGGAATATCGGTAATTTGCCAAGCGAATTTGCGTAAAACGGTGATATATATCTTCTAGCTCGTGATCTTCTAGATGCCGAATATCCTGCTTGATGCGACTATCAGAGGAATACTCTATCTTAGTAACCCTCATCGGGACAGAGGAAATGATGGAACCCCCGCTGGCGGTGTCTGTAGACTCAAGCCGCAAATCGGCTCCTGGTCGATCAGATACAGAGAACTCGATTGTGTTGCCCACGCTGCCCGAGGCGTCGAAGGAAATATGGTTCGCCATGATATTCTGCTCCTGTGCGAGCATCTCCAAGGCGACATCGTCTAGCTTGACAGCACTCTGGCCGGAGCCGGACAAGAGACTAACCGCACCAAGCCGCCTTTCGCCACCACCGGCTACTATGGCCACATCACCACCAATGGTCGACCCGCCGGCTGCAGATATAGATACAGAACCACCTTGTCCTGAGCCAGACGCACCCGACTCTAGCGAGATTGAGCCACCCACTCCACCATAATCGCCCGCCCCAGCATCGAAGCTGATTGATCCGCCATCACCACACTCCCCAAAACCCCCGCTTAGTTTCACCGCTCCGCCAACGCTACCTTCTCCTGCGGCAATATCAACCTCCCCACCTACATCGTGACCAACTGATCTACCTGCTCGCATACACAAATCACCACCAGCATCTCCAGACGACGCCCCGGCAAGCAGATTGATGCTCCCGCTCTCGGTGAAGGCATCTGACGTTGTCACGCTAATTTCACCCGAGCAGCCATCGGTAGCTGCCCCTGTCAGAATGTTTACATCCCCAGAAGAACCACCAAATCCCGCACTTGCCATGGTTATACCACCACTACCACCCGCACGACCCACTCCACTGGACAATATCACCTGTCCTCCATCTTCAACGGCACCCTCTCCAGAACAAAGCGTCAGGCCGCCACCACGCACGCCATGACCCGCGTTCAAACGTACATCACCACCTGAATATTTGCCACTGTCCCCAGCAAGAATAACGACAGCACCGGCGAGAGATGAAAGGCTGTGACCAGCTGAGATATTCAATCCTCCAGCCTCGCCCGCCGACCCCGTCTCAACCTTGATACTACCGGTCGAAGTCTGTCCGGACCCAGATGAAATCTTCACATCGCCACTACCACCTTCTTCAGTTGCCATCGATCCAAAGCTCGCCGACCCACCCATGCCTGATGCGCTAGCGCCCGAGGCGATCTGCACATCACCACCGTCGCCGTCTTCGCTTGACCCCGCCTCGAGCAGCACGTCGCCACCGACACCCCCCGAGCCACCTTGAAGCCGCACTCCGCCACTCGACCCCTCAGACGCGCCTCCGTTCAGTATGATACCCCCCGATGATTCCGATCCGAGGCCTGCTCGCACCGTGACGTCGCCGCCAACATCGCCTTCGCCAGACACGACCATCACCTGGCCGCCTCCAGTGCCCCCACTGCCGGCGGAGACAGAAAGATCACCACCAGGGCCTTCACTCGACGACCCAACCGAGACATCAATGGAGCCACTCCCAACCTCGGAGTCGCCCGTGCTGATGGCCACGCCTCCTGACACGCTGCCGGCTCCGGTTGCCAGCGAGATCCCACCACTCGGTCCAGAAGCCGAGGCGCTCGCTAAGGAAACATCGCCGCTGGTAGCGCCCCCCGAGCCACTGCTGACCATCACCGCCCCTCCAGGACCAGCGCCGCCGGACCCAGCCGCCATCGTAATCTCACCCCCGCATGATCCGCCGCCTCCGGCGATGTGCGCGCTTCCGCCACAGCCTGATGTTGACGCGCCAGCCTGAATAGAAATTGTCGAGCCATCGCCACTACCGCTCGCACCGACTGTGAAGCCCACGTCGCCAGCTTTACCACCAGGCGAATCGCCACTCTCAATGGTGATCGACCCGCTCGAACCACAAGAGGCGACCGCCCCCCCCGTTCCAAGTCTAACATCACCGCCGCCCGTCACACCCGCTCCAGAGTTGACAAATATAGCGCCACCCATATCGGACTCACTCTCGCCCCCGGAGATCTGCACCTCTCCACCATTGCCGGTGACACCATCAGCACCACGCAGAAGAACACCGCCACCGCTCTCGCCAGATCCACTAGCTATGTCCATGCTGCCACCAATACCCTCGGTAGACGTGCCAGCCGCGATCCTAACACGACCACCTCCTTCTTTTCCCCCATCGCCACCGTGTAGCTCGAGGGCACCGCCAACGTCGCCCTCTCCAGATGCGAGTACCGCAGAGCCGCCTGGGCCGTCCCCATCATTCGCCGTGCCTGCTTGTAGTGACAGCTGACCG